TTAATAATTGATAATTTGAAATAGGAAGAAAAGGTCTAAAGGGGTAGGGGTGGTGGGGTGGGAAGGGGAAAGGAAAAAAGGGAAAGGAAAAATTATGGGAAAAGGAAAAAATGGAAACAAAGACTTTGTAAATAAGAAAGGGTGGAGGGGATGAAGGGTGCACAGGTTATGGGGAAAAAATAACCAAGATATATCATCTACAGGTACAAGCACCCAATGATAAATGTAAACGTATTGTATACCTAAAATGTACCAATAAAAGAATTTAGGAAAGAAAAAAGAAAGAATTGAAGTTAGATAGAGTATGGTCTCTGACCATAATGGAATCAAGCCGAAATCAGTACAGGAAAGGGGATGAAAAAAAGAATTGAGGTGTGATATGTATGTGTACCAACTCCCCACAAAGAATGTAATCATTATGTAATGCAAACTTGGACTAATAGAAAATAAAAACTAGAAAATAAAAACAACAGGAAAATATTAAAACACTTGGAAATTAACACATTTCTAAGTAACTCACAAGCCAAAGAGAACATTTCAAAGGAATTTTTTAGTTAGGAAATTGAATAAAAGTAAAAATACAGCAAATCAAAATATGTTGGATGCAGTCAAAACATAGCTAAAAGGAAAGTTATTACCACTAAATGTTTACATGAGAAAAAAAAGGAAAGGTCTCAAAGAATAAGAGGCACATACATTGGACAGGAAAAAAATAAAATTTATTTGTATATGATGTGATTGTCTATATAGAAAACCCCACCAAGTCTACAAAAAGTTTTCGAGAATGAATTTGTCACAAGACAAATATTAATGTATATATATAATATATTACATATAATGCATATATGCATATAATGCATCAATAATAAATAGTAAACATCAAAATTTTTTAAATAATATCATTTAAAATTATCTAAGAAGGGCCGGAGATTTAGCTCAGTGGTTCGGCAGCCTGCCTCACAAGCGCAAGGACCCAAGTTCGATCCCTGGTACCAAAAAATAAAAATAAAATAAAATTATCTAAGAAGATAAAATACTTAGGTATAAGTCTTACAAAACATGTATAGCATTTGTGTCCTAGAAATTACAAGATGCTGATGAAAAAAATCTTAATGATTTTGAGTCAGATCAACAGAACCAAAATGTAAATTTAATGAACTGGAATATAGATCAAGTGAAATTATCCAGAACGAAGCATAGAGGGATTTTTATAAGTTCTAGAAGAGAGGATAAGAGACTGCAGTCTCCATATATACAATGAAAGGGCTCAGAGAAAAAGGAAGAGAGAGGACAAAGGTAATTTCTGAAAAGGTAATAACTAGGAATTTTCCAAATCTAATGAAAGATAGCAATCCACAGATTTAAGAGACTTGATGATCCCAAAAAAAGATAATAAAAAGAAATTCATAGGTTGACAAGGAAAATGTTTAACTCAATCATAAAACACAGATTACTTAACAGGAATAGTATTTAGACTTATAGAGAATTTCTCAAAACCAAAAGTATAAAACAATGGAACAATAATTTCAAACTGGAAGAAAAATTATTGTAAATAATTGCTTTATACCCAGTGTAACCATCTTCCAAGATTGAGAGTTTGAAAATGTCTTTCAAGAGTGAAGTCACCAGGACCCAGGGATTTAGCTCAGTGGCATCGCACCTCCCTTGCAAGGGCAAGGTCCTGTGTTCAATCTCTGGTACCAAAAAAAAAAAGAGGGCCGGGAATTTAGCTCAGTGGTTCTGCTGCCTGCCTTGCAAGTGCAAGGTCCTGAGTTCGATCCCTGGTACCAAAAAAAAAAAAAAGAGTGAAGTCACTAACTTAAGAAACTACAGGATATATTTTATCAGAAGGAGTGTGATTCCCAAATATAAAGTCAGGTATGTAGGAAGATATTAAATACAAAGAAAATAGCAAATACCTGAATACATTTAAATGTGCACTGGTAGCATAAAAGAGAATAATAAGGTTTAATAGGATAAGGAGAAAGATAAACTTAAAACTACAGTAATAATGACATGTAAGTCAGGAGAGTGGTAAACGGAGTTATAAAGTTCCGAAGTCCTCATCTTATTGAGCAAAAGGGTAAAGGTCCTCATTTACTTTGGCTCCAAGACAGAATATGTAACTTCTTGTCAGATGTTTTAAAAATATGAAATTTAAAAATCCAAGGAAAGTCAGGAAAAAAGAATAAAGGAAACAATATGTATGACCAAAAAGAAAAATACAAAATAAGCTAATAGCTTTAAATTCCAATATATCACTGTTCACATTAAATGTAAGTGAACCTAATGTTCAAGTTAAAAGTCAAAAATTGTCAGACTTGACAAAAAGATGTTTTAGCCGACTATTTGCAAACTCTTCCCTAAAACAAAAGTGTAGAAAGTTTGAAAATAAGGACCAGAAATATTCCAAGCATATGCTAATATATGATTAGACAGATACACTTTAAATTTAAAAAAATCATTCTGGAGACAGGCTCTATTCACAGGAAGATATATACCTATTTTAAATACATAGGTATTTAATCATGTATTCTTAAAATACATCAAACAAAACTGGAAAGAACTAAAAGGAAAAATAGAAAAATCTATAGTCATAGTGGGAAACTTTTTAACTTCTTGTAATATAACAGGCAGACAAAAATTCAACATGAACACAGGTATAAGCAAAACAATCAGTAATCTTGACCGAATAGATAGATCATTATACTGAACAACCACAGAATACAAATTCTTTTTAAGCACACATAGAACATTTCCCAAGACTGAGCATATACTGGGACATAAAGCAAGGCTCAACACAGTTCAAGAGGTTGAATCAATTTAGAATATGTTCTTACTACAGTTGAATTAAGCTAGAAATCAATAACAAAAATGTGATCCCAAAATCACAGAATGTTTGGTAACTACGAAATATACTTCTAAATAATTCATGGATCAAACTAGAGACATTTATACCTAAAGGGATGCATATTGAGGCCATACTCTTAAGTGAAATAAATAGGACACACATGTGTAAATACCAAATAGTTTTTCTAGTGTGAGAAACTGAAAGTGTAAATAAGGATTAAAATGATTAAAATGAATAACTGATAATTTGAAACAGGGAAAGATCCAAAGGTGTAGGGGTGGTGGGAGGGGAAGGGGAAAGGGAAGAAGGGAAAAGAAAAGTTATGAGAAAAGAAAAAAAATGGAAATGAAATCTATGTAAATAGGGAAGGGTAGAGGGGGTGAAGGGTGCACAGGTAATGGGGAAAAAAATAAGAACTAAGATACATCATATACAGGTACAAGCACCCAATGATAAATGTAAAAGTATTATATACCTAAAATGTACCAATAAAAGAATTTTTTTTAAATTCATAGATCAAAACATATAAAAATAGAATTAATTCGCTGATCATATATCACAATAAATTAGTAAAAGAACAACAAAATTTCACCAAAGGAGTAGGGTAGAATCAATGAAAATAAGAACAGAAATTGGCGAAACAAAAACATATTCAGTAGACAAAATCAGTATGGCAAAACTTGGTTCTTTGAAAAGACTAATAAAATTACAAACCCCTAGCAGTACAGTCAGTACTGCAGAAGGAAAAACATAGTAGACACAGGCAACATGGGGAAAGACAAAGGGCATCCCTGCAGATGGTACAGACATTCAAGAGATAAGAGAACTTTGTGAAGAACCTCATGCCAATAAACTTCAAGTTTTAAATGTAATGGACATAATCCTAGAAAAGTGCTAAGTTGCCAAAAAAAGTGTAATGAAGACATGAAGATCTCAATCATAGCCATTAAAAAATCAGTAGTCAAATGTTTTCACACAAGTTCAACTCCAGCCTCTTAAGATTTTGTTGAGTTCTACCACTCAAGAAAAAATGCTATCTCCATCCTCCACACAAGCCCTCTTAGAGTACAGAAGAAGGAGTTCCCCAACACTCTCAGCAAGAGTGGCATAACCTTGACCTCAAAACCAGATTAGGTGGCCGGGGATTTAGCTCAGTGGTTTTGCTGCCTGCTGTGCAAGCGCAAGGACCCGAGTTCGATCCCCAGTACAAAAAAAAAACAAACCCTAATTAGGACAATAAGAGAAAGGAGAGAATATAGACCTGTCTTCCTTCCCAAAAACAACTGGCAAAGTGAGCACATCAACACATAGAAAAGATACAATATCTTGATCACATCAAGTTTATCTCAGAAATGCAATGTTATTTTCAGATTAGAAAATTAATCAATGCAACATACTATATTAACTGACCAAAGGGGGAAAATTACACAATTATCTCAGGAGTTGCAGACAAAAATTGATAAAATTCAATATCCATGCGTGACAGCTTTCAATGTAGAAATAGCAGGGACTGTCTCTTAAAATAACATTGTCAGGATCATCTAGGCTCAGCTACTATAACTAATGCCCCAGTCTAGGAACTTAATACATTAAAGTTTCTCTCTCATCAGATAAATTCAAGGTAGGTTCACAAGATCTGCAGGCACTTTCCTTTGCTGATCTCAACCCACATTGGCATTCCCTCCCATGAACAGCACATCCCTCCAAAGTCACTGTGGGCGTGTGTAGTCCATCCACATCCCATCTTCCGCCAAACTTGATTCTTACTAAATCCCATCCCTTCATTGTCCAGCCTCAAAGTACTCTACTTGGGCTAAGAAACTACATACTATATGTGTCTTCCCCCACAGAGGGAACATGATAATATTCCTCACGTTCTGACCCTTACTGTCCACATTGCTCTCTATGGCCTTATTGCCTAGGCTCCACCTTCCTTTCCATAGAAGTACTGCTCTGAGTTGTAGAAGACTCTGGAGGAGTGGTGTGTAGTCACTGAGGTAGTGTCTTTTGCCTTTGTCCACCAGCAGAGAATGCCATGGTCTGTTCCAACTCAGGACAAGACAGAGATTTTTAGCATCTGCCTGAGCTCACGCTGACAGATGGCAAGCATCTGTTTGAACATGCAGCCTCACTACTGTCTCTTGCCTAGGAATGTACCAGGTGATAGAGGGCATCATCTCACCTGTTAATGACAACTACGGGAAGAAAGACCTGGTGCCTTCCCATCACCGAGTGACCATGGCCCGTCTGGCCCTGAAGACGTCTGACTGGATTCGGGTGGACTCCTGGGAGAGTGAGCAGGCACAGTGGATGGAGACAGTGAAGGTGCTGAGGTAATGGTAGCCATGCTCTGATGTGTGGAAGTTTAAAGCCCCCAGGGTGGAAGTCAGGAAAGATTGCTGGGCAGGGCTTCAGCCAGAACTGCTCAGCCAAGACCCTAGAAATGTCTCTGCTTAGGGTGAGAGAGACCTGTCAAGGTTTCAGAGAGGTCCTCAAGCAAAAATAAATCACAAACCCATCCATCAGAAAACAGTTTGTGGAAACACTTAACCTGACTGTTTCTGAAGGCTGTGGCATTGGGGACCTCAGCCATCACTTGGTAGCTATGTGACTTTGAGAAAGTGATTCTCCTGAGACCTAGTCCTTACTTGTCAAATGAGAACAATGAAACATACTGAAGATTTTTTAAATGTAAGTATTGAACTAGAAGTGCCTTCTATCATTAAGTGAGACTTTTTATTATTTTCATCATTGACTAGGTGGGAAAACTGAATCTATTTCAGAAGCTCTCTTTTCTAGTTGCACAAATCGTGGGTTTCCTAAATCCAGACTTTCATGTGAAATAGAAAAGACTATAAATTTAGAAATAGTTACCCAGGATTTTTTTTAAATCTTCAGAATTGCTATTAGTGTTGAGTATAAAAAACATCTTTAAAGACCCAGTCCAGCCCAGCATATTGAACTTACTTATGTCTGGAACTGCACAGGGAGTTTGTAGGAAAGAAATGAGTTCCCCATGTTCTGTCTGGCAGAGGGGACCACAATGTGGGCCTGCCTCCTGACCAACAACAGGCAACTCCACTGGAAGGGATTGCAAATTGTGGGCTGTCTTCTATTTGGAAGCACTGGGGTTGTGAGGGACACAGCAGAAGTGGCAAGGTCAAACAATTGGCAGGCCTGTTCATAATGTGTTTTGGTTTTCATATTTTATTTATCTTTGAAGGCACTTGGGAGAAGTGTTTATGTTTTCACTGAGCATTGAGATTCTAGGCCCTTGTCCTTATTACTTACTTTTTACTTGGAAAGAACCAGTTAGAAGCATTTAGCAGCTAGTTTTAGGTGCACTTCAGAACCTGCTGCCAAGCTAAAAGGAAAACAAACATGAAATAATTGTTAGGATACATGTTCCCTTCTTTTTTAACCACCCACCTGTATAAGCAAAGATTCAAATTGAAAATTGCATAAGGAATAAATTTATACCTCAATCATCTTTTGGGAATGAGTCTTAGTCATTTCTCATTTATCCAGGCTAATAAAAGATAGTAGAAGAAAGACAACAGAAAATCCAACAGGTCATTTATCTTTTATATGTAGTAAGAAATAGGTGTTTTCTCCTCCACCCTGTGAGAGGCAGTGTTGCAGAAGACATGGGTTTTAGAGCCTAATTTACTAGCTGAATGAGTTGATGCAAATTATTTGGCCTCCCTGAGCCTCGATTCCTCATATGATAAAATGGGAATTCATCACCTATTTCACAGAACCCTGTGTGAATTAAGTGAAATGATGTGGGCAAATTATCTGGTTATAGTAGGTGCTTAATGATGTTAACTACCTTTCCCTGCATCCTTAATGCTGGCCATGATTTGTCCTTAAAACCAGTAAGCCACTTGTTAGTACCTAGGTGTTGATCATAGCAATTTAATGTTACTGCGTCTGCTACAAGATTCAGGTGTGGGCAAAGATTTTACTGAACACATTCTTTTTCTGTTTTTTTCTTTAAAGTCCTTTAGTCCAGCGTTTCTCAATGCTGGCTGCACATTGGGACCACCTGCAGAGCTTTTAAAAAAACAGATGCCCTCATCTTACCCCAGAGACTTTGATCGCCTTGGTCTGGGGAAGGGCATGGAATTTTAACAGTTCCCTGCTGCTTCTAACTTGGGCCTGGTGGGGAGCCCACCTCAGTCCCTTACTATGTGAACCCCATTCCTAGTCAGTACTGAGATCCACTCAAAGTAGTCTAATCCCTGCTGCAAGAATCACCTGGAAAACTTGTTTAAAATGCTCATTCCCATGGCAGATATTTTGGTTTGCTGGGATGGTCTAAGCATGAGTATGCTTTAAAGGGTCCAGAGGATTTATATTGTACTACCACGGTTGAGAATCATTAATGTGGTGAACACAGTTTTAACAGATAGCTGACTAAGATGTTTTAAAGGTTGAAAATCTGGTCCAGATTGAAAGTCAAGTGGTTTTAGAAGTATGATAAAATAGGCCCTATCATTTTCTCCATTTAGTATTCTCTTGATAAATTTAACTGAATATACATCACAGTGATACAGTAACAAATATGAAGTCACTGTGGGGCTTATTAAGGATTATTTTTCTCCTTATCAGATTGTTTATTTTATGCAATTTATTTAAATCTAGGTCAACACTCATGTCTTAAGGGCATGTTATGGGGAAGAGGGCCTTCGTCGCAAGGCCATATCATGTGCTCCTTCATCCATCGACATCTCATAAACCCGTTCCAAACATGATCACATGTTGTCCTCATTTTACAGATGAAAACAAATGAAGCGCAGAGAGGCTAAGTTCATCACAGACTCAACCAACAAGCTAGAGGTAGAGCTGTAGTCTGCTCACTTCAGAAGTCATGCTGTGGCCATCTTCAAAGCAGTGACCTGCTAGCTGGGAACATGAGCCCACAACATGAAGACCCTGCTTTCCTGTTGGTCTTCTCTGGAGACCAAAGAAAGCTGAGGGCACAGAGAACGTGTTCCCCAGGCCTACAGCTGGATACACCAGGGTACCACTCAGGCAGGCAGCAAGAGGAAGCAATGACCCCAGCCCCCAAAAGACAGGGTGGAAGTCCATGGGGAAAGTGTGCTTGGTACTGAAAGTACACAACAAAGTTCCAATATCCAACCAATATTCAAAGCAGAGTTAACTTGAATTAGGAGGTTCAAGGTAAGTAAAATGAAATAACAATCACCATCTTTAGTACATCACCTGCCACAAGAACCAGGCTCTTTAACATATATCTAGTTAGAACAGCAACTCTAAAAGGTAGGTGGGTTTAACCCCATTTCACAGATGAAAATATGGAAGTTCTGCAAGGATCAGTAACATACTCCAAGTCCTAATTTGTTTAAAGTTGTAAAGTGGAGAAGAGACTCAAACAAATTTCACAGTCTGATGAAAGAGCCCACACCAACACAGAAGTGAATCTGTAGAGACAAAGCTTACAAAGACCAAAGCAATGAAAATAGAGTCCAGCAAGGCTCATAAACAGACCAAGTTCAAAACACACATTTTGACTTGGAAAGCGGGGATGGTAATGCCTACTTTTTAGGCTTTTATGAAGATAAATGAATTTTAGACATTAAGCACTGGCACGGTATGGCCCACAACTAGCTCTCAGTAAAGATTCTGGGCTCTGAAAAGACTCAGCTGAGTCTGAAATCATCAGAAGGGCTGTGGACCAGGGTTAGATATATTTTATTCATCCACTCCTCCATCTCTCCTGAACTAGTAGACTTTAGAGGGACACTTTCCAAGTGTAATAATACGAAGATGAGTAAAATGAGGTGCCTGTTCATAGTCTGGTGGAAAGACAGAGAGTGATGATCGTAATAAGAGCTAAAGTTTATTGAGCACATTCCATGTACAGGCCAGCCCTGAGCTTTTCAGTTACAGTGCACCCCTCCCTGTATAATCAGCAGCAGACTACTTTTCCCATATTTTGCAGGGGAGAAGCACTTGCTCATTTATGGTCTTGTGATTCTTGTTGTAGATAAGGCTGCATTTAACTTTTATGATCAATTAATGGATTAGGTCAGTGAGACTCTGAAAGTGTCACTGACTTGTGCAGGGTCATACAACCAGGACAGCTCTTACTTGAACCCACCAGCTTTGACTATGAGGCACATGCTTTTCTCACCAGACACTGTCCCTCCCATATACAGCTCTAATGAATGCATACAATAGTAAGTGGAAGATAAAAAGATCAAACTGAGACAAGAAAGACTGTACAGTGATTACTTCTATTAGAAAAAAAAAAAGAAGGTACAGATATCTCTTGATTTGAGGAAGCTAGATTGCTGAGCATCCCAGATTGATGTAAATCTAATCATATCTGAAATGCTCAGTGCAGTGTGCATGAATTAACTCCTCTCATCTTCATAACCTCCCATCAGAGGTGGGCACTATCATTGTGCCCCATTTGAAAATGAGGGTTCATTCACACAGAGACTTGAAATCACTCACTAAAGATCACACAGCCAGCCAGTGGGAATTGTGATTCAACTGAAGCTGTCTAGCTCCAAGTCCTGGCTCTTAGCCCTCACTGTGTTGCATTTTAAAACATTAGTTTATAATAAGAGCAAGCATCTTTACTGAAAGCTAGTGTGGGCCTTACTGTGCCTGTGCTGATTGTGTACAGCTCATCTACCTTCAGAAAAGCCTAATAGGCATTCCTGTTCCTGTTTTCCAAATGAAAGTGTATGAAGAAAATGTTACAAGAGTAGATTTAGGCTCCCTTTCCCACTTTCTCCCAGGGCACATGGAAGGTAGTAGGCTCTCTTGGATAGGGCTCTCCAGGAGGACCTAGGTGGTGTCTGCTTTCTGTCCTAGTGCCTGGCATAGTGCCTGGCACATAGTTGGCCCTCAACAAATATTTGTGGAATGACCAAACTAAGATGGCTAGGAGCAGGTTGAGACTTAAATCCTGAGGATCCTGGGGTAGACTCAGAAATTGGAGGATGATATACCTGAGCCTGTATGTTTCCACTGCAGGCATCATCAGAACCAACTGCTCAGATCTGCAACCCAGATGGAAGGCCTGGACCCTGGCAAGGCACCTTCAGACCGTGCAGGTCGGTACCAACCCTCAGGCCTGCAGGAGGGGGGATAGCAGGGATTCTTGTGAAAACTGATAGGGGATTTGCTGCTCAAAGGAGCTTACCTACCTTGTGATTTATGCTTGTGACATGGATTAGTCAGGGCTACACAGGAATAAACTGGTGAGTGATTCTGGGGTTCTTTGAAAGCCTTAGCCTTTTAAAATTCAAAATGGGCAATTATAAACCACTTCCTGGCAGTTACTCAGTGGTTTACTCAGAAGAGAAAACTCATTTTTAAAGGCTATAAAATCAACTTGGATTATTTTCCTAATTTGTAACCCTGTTGTCCTCTCCTGGTGTTGGATGGAAGCTGGCTGCTTGTGATTTCAGAGTATGAGTAGCCATGGTGTGTGCATCAAAGGCACAACCCCCTCATGCAAATACATAAGCAGGAGCTCTTTGAGGTGGTGGGAGGCAGGATGTAGTGTGAGCAGAAAATCACCACTCCACACTTTTGGCAGGCCATCTTCAGTTTTCTACTACAGGGTTCCCAGCTTTGGTTAGTGGGATACTACTTTTGGATCAAAAGGATTCAAGACTGCCAAGGATAAATGCAATTGAAATGGTTTAATTAGTGCAGGACTTTTCAGATCCTTTATTACATCCCTATGCATTGTTACTTGACAAGAAAGAGAGAAAACCTGGGGCCATTCCTCTCACTTTTAACTGTGAAACCTTTTCTTTTCTCTTTTGTAATGCCTGTCAGTATTTTTCAGAGCTAGTTCTCCCGAAGTATGAAGGAAACACTTCTGAAAGGACTTGGAACTGGGCCTGGTGGCACATGCCTGTATCCTAGCACTCTGAGAAGGTGAGACAGGAGAAGCACAAGTTCAAGCCCAGTCTGGGCAACTTAGTGACTTAGCAAGACCGAGTCTTGGAATGAAAGATAAGCTGGGAATGCAACTCAGTGTGAAGGCTCTGGGTTCAACCTCCAGTACTGAATGAGTGAATGAATGAATAAAATTAAAAAATAAATACAATAACTTGGAAAGCTACCAGACCCTAAAGGTGCCATGCAGTTCCCAGATGCTGGTTAAAAAGAATCCCACACAGCAGAATCACTTGTGGGAATTGTTAAAAACATTAATTCCCAGGCCCTTCCCAAACCTCCAGAGTGAAGGTGGGGCACAGTATTTAATAAGCACTCTGGTTTGCTTTGCCGCCAGTTGGGGGATGCGCACTTAACTGAAAATGTAAGGAGTTATAATGCCTCCCGTATAATCCACTGACATGATGTTTATTGTGTCTTCTGGTCTCTGCCTCTCCTTTACCTGCATGGGCTTCTCCCCAACCAGCCCATTGTGACTCAGTGCCCAGTATTCATCAGCCTCTGCTTCCTTTCTGCATCTTCTCTGGCACAGATGCTACTCCTGAAAGGCCCTACATGTGCCCCACAGGCACCTTCCCAGGCCAAGAGACAGCCTGGGAATGGAGGTGAGGCTCTGCACGGGTCAGGAAGTCTATGTGGGGGAGGCAGCTGCCCACAGACTGGCAGACTGTGGATATAGGAGGGGGCATTTTGTACAGAGGGGCAGGCTAGGGCACAAAGAATGGACAAGCATCAGTGTAGGGCAGCCCCATCCCCATGCCTAAGGAGTGCTAGAACCTCCTGGTAGAGACAGGGAACAACCAGAGTGAAATGGTGGGATGCTGAGCTGAGCCCTCTACATGCCACAGTTCACCTCTACTGATGCTTCCAGAATCCCTGTCTCACCTCTGCCTGGCCTCCCCCTTCTGCCTCTTCCCTCCTTGGCTCCCCTATTGAAAACCTGCCTGTCCTGCAAGACTCAGTTCAGAGTCACTGCCTTGTGAAACCAGGCCATGCTGCCCTCATTCGTACAAGTTCTGCCTAAGCTCACCCCACATTCATTTGGCTAGGGGCTACTTGGCCCTGTAATATTCAGACTCTCTCTATTCAGACCCTAAGTTCTACTTGTCTTTTTCTATTCTAAAGTAACTGTGCAGAAGGGAAGTTTACATGAAGTGAAAAATGGACTTTTCTGCTTACCAAAACGTATCAGTGACTTAAAATCTTCCTGCCTTTTGCAAGTGACAAATTCCTCATCTAGGAATCTAGCTAAGGAGGTAATTAAAAATTGGGATAGATATTGATACATAAAGATGTTCATCATGGGAGTTTTTACAATAGCAGAAAGCAAAAGCAACCTCAATGTTTAAATACAAAGGAATATGTAAGTAAATTATACTTTATATATAGGACAAAGGATCTACATAAAAGGCTTTAGTGATATGGAGAAACATGAAGAAAGTACAAAAAATCAGAGTACAACACAGTACATGGCACCTCTAGTACATAAAAAAATGAATGTGGGGCCAGGGATTTAGCTCAGTGGTTTCGCCGCCTGCTGCGTAAGCACAAGGACCTGAGTTCGATCCCCGGTACCAAAAAAAAAAAAAAAATGAATATGCTTTTATGTTTAAACTTTGCATGTTTAAATCACTAGAAAAGACTCAGGAAATGCACCAAAATGTTAGTGTTTGTAGAAAACAATTACTTTTATTGTTGCTGTTACTTTCTATTTTACAGTTGTATTTTCTGTGTTCCATATTAAGTACCTATTTATATTTGTAATCAGAAAAAATAAAACTAGAGCAGTTTTTAAAAGGAAAGTGGAGTTTTTCTCAACATAACTTTAACTTGTGATAAAGATAGCATGTGTGTGACTAGTGATATATTTCTAAAGGGCCATTTTGGGTGCCTTGTCTTTTATTATGTGTTGTTATACTTGGATTGCAAATTACGTGCTGTGCCCAGCATTTGTGGCTGTCAGACCCCAGCTTTGCCCATCACTTCTGTGACTGCACTTCTTAAAGTCACCCAGAATCATGTGAATGCCATGTTCTGGGACTGCTTGGGCGTGACACTGTGGAGTGGACAGTGCCTCTGGTCTTTTAACAGACTGATGCTGTCCTTTGTGAAGATGGGCTTCCCCCTTGGCTGATGGGGCTGCGTATGGCTCAGCAAGTTGAAAGGATTCTCTTTCCGTAAACACAGTAGGCATTTGATCTGTTTCCACTTTACACCGATCAGATGCCTGTTCCTAGCTTCATCTCTGGTGGCCTCCTATTTGGGCGCGGAAGTCCATGCTTCTGAGTGTCTGTGGGGCACCAGGACAGACACCGCCATTACTGGCTATGTCCATACCTGTGCCAGGCAGAAAACTGGCACTGCCTTCTTTCCTCCATCTCTTAATTTCCGCTACTGCCATAGTAGCCTGTATTACCCCCATTTTATAGCTGAAGAAACAGGCTCATGTGCTCAGGGTAACTTTCCCAGAGCACCAACATATCTGAAATTCAAACCAAGGTTAACTGACCCGCGATTGATGCTCTGTAATGTTGTCAACGTAGGGCAAGCAAACGTCCAAAGTTAAAAGTGCTGGTGGTGGGGCTGGGGATTTAGCTCAGAGCTTCCAGTGCCTGCCTCGCAAGCGCAAGGTCCCGAGTTCGATCCCCAGTACCAAAAAAAAGTGCTGGTGGCATTTCCTCACAGTTCATGTAAATTTTGACTTCATCCATGGTTCATAGCTACGCAGAGGCACCCTGTCCCCAAAATGCCCACAGACAACCATTTATGTCACTGTATCTCTGTCAGGATGAATCATATTGGCACCCTTTATACTAGTTCTTGAGTTATGTACTTTGGACTTAAAATCATTCAGTCTGAAAATTCTGTAGCATTGATGTGAATGGATTTGAAAGGGATATTGTGAATGCTTTTGTGAAGCCTGAAGACAGGAGGGCCACAGTTGGGGTCTGAGGCACATGTTTCTGTAAGAAGTGACCCATTGCATGAAACTGTCACATGGAATGACAGACAGCACTAGCCTTGTAGACATACCTTGTGGGACAGGGGTTAGGGGATATATGGGCACTTCTTCTCTCTAGAAAGGCTCAGAATACATAGTATTCCTTACTGTCATTATTAATAAATCAGAATACCTAATATTGATGCAGATATGTGGAAATTGTCCCCATAAAACCCACTAGGAGAAGGGGGTGTCTGTTTCCAGAACTATGGGAACATAGGAGATGTGCCTGTGCCCTCAAGAGACCTTGGAATTAAATTTCATTTAATGTCCCTCAGGGGAAGACCACGTAGAAACTACCCAGTCATCTGAAAGGCCAAACACTGATCTCTTGCTGCACTATAGTGGCTGAATAAACAAAAAATCAGGGTAAAACCTCACAGCTGTGGAACAGTGTAAATCCACATATGTGTTATAAACAATATATTAGAGAGAAGTATGAGTTACTGAATAATTTCTAAAAGGAACTTTATGGTTTTAAAAGGACCAATCACTGAGCAGACAATTTATAAATGTTGAGTGGATATTTGATGAATAGCTTGGTAAAAAAATGGGTAAATGGATAAGTGAGTGAATGAATGAATGGCAGTTAACACATATGAGTATAGCACATATTCTGCCAGCCATTGCTGTATGTACATCATATTTATAAGTTCACTCTATAATCTTATAAGGTAACCCTATAAGGTAATACTATTAACATCTTCATTTTAAAATGGAGATCATACAAGCTACCACATCGCAGAACCAGAATTTGAACTTAGGGTGTCTGACTCCAGAGTCTGAGCTTGTTACCACTAAGAATTCATACAGGCATGCATGAAGGGATGTTTGGATGTCATTTCTTAGACCAGTGTTATGCTGCTACAGGGTTTGAAAAGTGTGATTTCATAGTTATATTTGTTGCTTTGAATGAGTCTAGTGCTTGTTGGCTCATGTATGGGGAAATTGAGGCCCAGAGAAAGAAAGGTCTTGGCTGTAGTCCTACAGCAGCATGTGCCAGCTGAAGCCAGACATCAGACTTTTCCAAGGTACTGCCAGCCTCTCACCTTCCATGCTACTGCCAATCCAGGGCTCTTTTGTAAACCCATCTCTGCTCACATCCAGATTCTTTCAGGGTTCCACCATCAAGGGACCAAACTGAGCCCTTATGCCAGGTTTCCCCCAGTGTATGGTAGCCCTGAATCTCCTTACTGAGGCTTCATGGTGACAGATGCCAGCCCTCTGGGAGCCTGGCCTTTGCTGAAGCCGCCACAGAAGCTGGAATCAGATTGTGGAAGGACCATGGATATTGCAGCAAGATGCTAACAAAGACATGTTTTTTTCTTTTCAGATTAGCCCACCCAAGAACTTGAACAGTGCTAGGAAAATCTGCCTGGTCTCTAGCCCTCAAAGGCTTCTCAGTTTCGATGCATATACAGAGTCCTACCGGGCCAGCAGGAGGTGGCAGAGCCTAGCAGTTAGAGATGCCCCACATGCAGGCTGCCTGCCTGGGTTCAAATCCTGATTTCTGTGACTAGCTGAGGACCTCGGGCAAATCATTTGCCTCTCCGTGCCTCAGATTCTCCTTCTGCAAAATGGCACAACAATATTTACTGCATGAAGATCACATAGTATGATATACCATAAGTGATTAGTAATAGTGTGGTATTAAGCACTTCATAAATGTTCGGTGATTTTTCATCATCACAATCAGCATTTTATTAGAACAAATTCCAGGTTATCCACATTAATCATTTGTCCTGGAGCTTTGTTGTATTGGAAACTGAAATGAAAAGACCACCAACTGGAGTTATAGAGGCTTTTTGGTTATCCAAAGAGTCTTTATAATTAATTAATCTTTATGATGCGATTTCACATAAGAGTGCCAGGTCCCACTTCCTAACAACAGTAGGGTTGAAATGGATTTCAAATAGGTCAGTGACTTGTCCAAGGCCCACGGTTTGTTAGTCTTTGAGCTTTAAAAACTTAACTTTCATCAAAAAGTGGAATTTGGGGGACAACACAGCCATCCCTAGAGCTCTTTGCCGTGATCCAGAGCAATCACAGACGGATTTGTGTTACAACACTGGAAAGAAAAGAAAAACAAAAACTTGCTTGTATCCTTGGCACTCTGCCAATATTAAACAAACGATGCATTGATTAAATCATTACTTACAACTGTATTAGCTGCAATAGCTTCAGACATGCTTTTTAAGTCATGAACATGGAAACATTGAGTTCTCAGTAAATTCCAAGGTAAACATTTTGTGAGCTTGTCCAACAGAATAGCACAGTACCTTTCTTGGCTGTGACCCTTCCATAACTATCCACCTGAGATCCACCCTTGTTTTCACAGCTGCACCTGAGCTGAAACTCCTCTGTGGGGCAGACGTCTTGAAGTCCTTCCAGACCCCCAACCTCTGGAAAGATGCACACATCCAGGAAATAGTGGAGAAGTTTGGCTTGGTGTGTGTGAGCAGGGCAGGGCATGACCCGAAGCGGTACATCTTGAGTTCACCCATACTATGCAAATACCAGCACAACATTCAGCTGGCCAGGGAGCCGGTGCTGAACGAGATCAGTGCCACATATGTCAGGCGAGCCCTGGGCCAAGGGCAGAGCGTGAAGTACCTGCTTCCTGATGCTGTCATTGCTTATATCAAGAACCATGGCCTGTACATGACTGACAATTCCCAGAAAGGCAGAAGTACCCAGGGGAATTAAAGGACAGACAAGCTAGGCAGGCCACTGGTCAGCTACTCTGCGCCACCCAGCACCTCCTGCAGAGAGGTTTGTGTTTTGCTTTGTTTTCTGTTTTTCTGGGGATTTTTTTGTTTGTTTGTTTTGTTATTACCACAATGATTTTAATTCTGGTGAATCTTCTACCCCAGGAAAATACATTCTGTCTACATGGCCAGAAAAGATATTTAGCAAAGAAGCTAAAATGGTGTGCCAGATCATTAAGATTAGGCAGCACTGCTCAGAGCCACTGGACTAGGAGGCTTCCTTATTTTGTGTCACTGGTAAGATTAGAATTGCCCACGTGCATTTTTTAACCAGGGCCAGGTGTGGCCTGCTGGTCCTGATTGGCAGGATTTGACAGAATGCTAATTACCTAACAGTGGGCCTTGTCAACGTCCTTGTTTCAAACAGAGTAATGCTAAGGAGTAAAAAATTTGGAAACTACTCTTATATCATATCTTCCTTTGCAAACTGTCCTGCCTGCCTTCTGACCTTTTATGAAATTCAAACTAAACTCTAAGTAGTGAATCTCAAACAATATTTTTGATACATGCATTTTTAAAAAGACAAAGCTCCTGGTGTTCAAGTTTCTAAAAAGGAACTGAGGTAAAACAGATGCCTATTTTAGAGAATCTTTTTTGAATGTTTTATGATGGCCGGCCTGTTTGAATATTGGCAAAGTGATAAATAATAAATTGACATCAAAACGTTCTAATGAAAAGATTCTTTTTTTCCTTCCTTTGTTATATTATTAATGCCTGATATACCAGCTGTTGCTCTTCTCTGTAGCTAGTCCGTAATATTTGGTACTGTTCCACTGGAACAGGTATGAATTTAAAAGTCTGTGTCCCAGGTACTAGGATGGAGGAAGCAATTGCTCTTCAGTGCCACACAAATGGTTTTCTAATCCAAAGCACTGGGTCTATGGCATTGTTCAAGTGAGCCCTGAAAGACGAATGGAAGCCTTTGGTGTGTTCAGAACCTGTCATTCAGATTATGAAAAGGCTTTGATTGTGCTAATTCTGTTGGTGGTTACTGTTTATACTGCTGACCAGTTGCACTCAGAATTCACTTCTCTGTGGTCCTACCCTGGCACATCTTTACCACAGATTTAATGGTGCTGAAAAGGGGCTGGCAGGAAGAATCTAGTACCTCTCCTAAAATATCCCAGTGTTGTCAGATGTGTTATGAGATAAACAGAGAAGTGGGAAAACCAGGGTAGTGGGATTCTCTTGGGAACCCAGCCTTCCTTCTCTGATTGAGCTGTGACCTGCAAAGGTCCCTAGGACCTGGATAACTCAGAGACTAGGAACCAAACAGCCTAGTTCAAAAGCTGCACAGCAAGTAGTGTGACTTTGGCTCACTCCCTTCCCCACTGTGAGCCTCAGTTTCTCTACCTCCAAAATGAAGGGTTTGATTAAATTCTCATCCTGCTCTGCATTTTCAAGACTCAGCTTCTGACTTAAGCCTGTGCAGCTTTCTTTGGGTCCAGTACACTTCTAGCCATACTGGAAGCTCCCCAAGGGCAGCTCTTTGTTTTGTTTGCTATTCAAAGTGCAGTCACAGACCAGTAGTGTTTGCACCCATGAGGGTTGGTTAGAAACAGAATCTCAGGCCCAAGTGACTCAGAATCAGCTTTCTACTAAGGGTCATTGGCCTAGAATAGTACCATTCCAACAACTGTTCCATTTTTAATAAATTGAATGTTCAATTGTAATTCTGTGACATGCTGGTATCTTCCCTCCTATCCTCTGAGCAACACTGCCCCTACTGTTTCATGTGCAGCAGAGAAGGTAGACAAGGGGGCAAAGCCCTGCCTGCAATCAGCAGTAGTGTCTAGAAATAGAGAGAGAGCCTAGAGAGAGGAGAGAGAGAGAGGGGCCTAGGGAGCCTAGGAGTTTAAGGCAGGGTTTCTCGCTGTCAGTAATACTGACATCCTGGACTGCATAATTCTTTGCTGTGAGGTTGTCCTGTGCACCATAGGATGCTTAGCTTGTGTCCACTAGATGCTAATAGAACATCCCTAGTTTTGACAATAGAAATGTCCCAGACATTGCCAAATTTTCTTCCAGGGCACCAGATAATCACTGGCTTAGGACCCATTGGCTTAAGGATGTGACTGTCAGGGATTTGTGTATGAGAAAGGAGTGTCTGTTTCCCACTAAGGGAAATCAGGAAGCAGCATAAAGGTCTGCAGGGTGGGGTTGGGGGTATTTGCTCTACCGCTGGTGGAAGCATGCTTATCCTGACAGATGCAGTGCTGTTGACTGTAGGAATGGGAAGCCATACCCCTGAGCCCCAGGCACTCCCAGCTTTCATCTCTCTTTATTCCCAAGTACCCACAGTGGCCTCCTCTCCCACATTTTTAGAGCTGAGGATTCCAATATGCCCTGGGCCCTTGGTACTGACATCCAGGTATGGCACATGATGGCTCAATGAGTGGGAGTGAATAGTTTTGTTATTATTCCAATTTCAGGACTTATTTATTGGAATCACATCTATTGAAGACCTCTCTGCCACGGGTAGGTTGATGATCAGACAGTCTCTACCCTCAAGAAGCTTATAGTCCAGTAGGGTCTGGACAGAAACCAACTCATCACACACTACATGTGTGACTGCAAACTGAAGAGGACCCTGAAGGCAAACACAGACTGCCAGCTAGAGGCAGCAGGTTCACACAAAGCAAAGGAAGCTGAAGCTTCAGTCTCTCCGTTTCTAGCGCCCTAGAAGGACCCTAATTACATGGATATCTAATTCTAATTCTAATTATCTAATTCTAAATTTATAATTTTATTCTTTTTCTAAGAGGGGCCTTGGAGATTGAACAAGATTTGGACTCAATAAAATGGATTTGCCTGATGACAATGTAGACAAGTTACAATAAGCTTAAGAACTGAAAGATAAGTTCCCAAGACTTGGGGATGGGTGGAGGCAATGAGCTTTCAAGAGGAATAACTATGAACAAAGGCCCTGAGGCAGGAGAGTACAAAATGAGCACCATGATGAGCTAGATGCATTATCATCTCCTTATATCATGCACCTGACAGCAGGTACCCTTGCATGCCACCATCTCCCTGTCCTAGCTTAGGCTCAAGACAGCAGCAGGCCCAGTAGGCTTGCTGGAGGCGCCTTTGTCTCCCTAATCCATGTCTGTATCATATGGCTTCCACCAGGTAAAACAGCTATTTCTGAGTCTTTATGTTGTTCATTCTAAAATACAACACAACAAAAACTACCTTATTAGATATATAGTATACATATGTATACCTTCATACATATATATGTATCTTAACTTTTGTACTGTCACTTTGTCTCATGGATTCATGTCGCCTCCTGTTTTTAGCAGAAGAGAAAGTATGTCTCGTTGCTGTGCTCTTGATGTATTGCATTGACACTAACCTGCATACCTGATTTAACATTCCTTTCCATTCCCTTAGGTCTTTGCATCTAGTTTGCCAGGGTGTTTTGTTTATTTTGCAAGAACAGAAAAATAGTGGCATGGGCTCCTGGGTAAATAGAATTTCCAGCCTTAAATAAAGGTTCTCCTGTGATAACATTCACTGCCCAAATGAGAAGAGTGCTGTACTCTTGCCTGGGGAAAGAATTTTTCATTTATAATACTGTCTATGTCATTTGGGACAGAATGATGTGAAATCCCATTTTAAACAGACAGTGCTACGGATTTGCAAGGTACGTTTGGTAATTGGGTTAATATATGAATATGAATTTCCCTGTCCTTGTCCTCACGCTTCCTATGCTAACAGTGTTTCTGTCCTTTTTGCAGAGGTCTCCGTGCATGGATTGTGTTCGATTTCAGTCATGAAATTATTTTCTTGGACCAAAACTCAGCGCTATAGATACACTTATGTGTGACTAATAAACAATCTATAATGATACATCTTGGCACTTGCCTCAGGATAGTTTAGTATTAGTAAAACAACTTCAAAAATATTGTTCATGATACTATAGACTGTGGCAACCAGAAGGGACCCGAAAGTTCATCTGGTTTCACATTTCCAAATTATCAAACACTAAAATCCCACAAATATACGGGAGTTTTACTCTTAAAAATAATCCGTTCTGGCAACTTGGGGGAGCCTTACTCTGCCTGCTTCTGTTGCAAATCCATAATGTGCTGCTATGCCCTGACACTATTACCTCTGTATGCTCCTTATTTGTACCTACTTCCGTCCACCCCTTATCACCTCCAATCCGATTTCTATTCACTCTCACTCCAGCCACTGCAGTGACCTCCTAACAGGACTCCCCAGCCCACACCTGGCCCCTGCAACCATTCTCCACATAGGGATTTTGTGTCCGTGAAAATCTAGTCATATTACTGTCCTGCTTGGACTCCTTCTGGGAGACATGAGTAAGAAGATAAAAGGACAAGCTACAGACTGGAAAGAAACATTTGCAAAATATATAATTAATAAATTACTTGTGTCTACAGTATGTAAAAATCTCTTAACAAAAATATGACTAACAACCCAATTTAAATGATAAAAGAATTGGCTAGACATGTACAGGAGCAGGTGAACCCAGCAGCCTGATGTTGCTCTTCATAGCTGGTAGAACTGGTGCTTGCCTGGACTCTGTGAATTTGGCCTTTGGAAGGTTACCTATGATTTTAAGTGATAAGGCTGTTTTGTCTTCTTGAGACACTGAATCCTATTATATCCCTTACCTAGACTGCACAAAAAATGCCGTTTATGATGAAGTCCTGCCTTCTACAGTTTGGAATTTAAATACTCAAGGTTGGTGTCAGGGAAAGGGTTAAAAGTGATGAGAGTCAGGGAAATGTATGTGTTCGCTGAATGACCTTGGCTTGCATTCCTTTCTTCAAGGAAGCTATCTCCTGAGAAAGGAGTGTATAGAGATAACTCTTAGCACACACAAAAAAAAAACCCTGATCATTTCCAGGCTCTAACCTAGGCTGGGAACAATCCCTTCCAACCACACAGTTCTGTTGGTGCCAAGTCATTTTTGTCTGAACACAGTACTTAAGAAACTGAATGTGGTGTAGCATTTTCTCCCACCTGCAGAAGACTCTGTCTCATAGATCCTTCATCTTTGGTGCTGTCTCCTGCCTCATTGTGTGGTAATATATTATTTGACTATTCTCACATCTGCTCTAATTTTATAATAACTTTCATCTTTTTAAAATCATTATGTGGGTCTTCTCTATTCATGTGGATCCAAACCTCAAATTTCAATGGCCACAACCTATACATGGCTCCTTGCTGTTACAGTTGGTCATGTGGCAGAGGGTGCCTACATCACCAGCCCAAGAAGAAGCCCTGGACCTTGAGTCTTGGACAGGACTCCCTAGACAGAAGCAGTGTGAGTTCTTGCTGCATTTCACTGCTGGAGAAAGTATGTTCTGCAGGAATCCTTGCTCCAAAGTGGACATTAGGAGCCTGGACTCCAGGCTCCACCTGATGTGTCTTTCTTCCTGTTCTGTATCCTTTCTCTATAATAATCATTGCCATGGGATAACTACCCTGAGATCTCATGCAAGTCATCAGAGGTGGAACCCCACACAAAATAGTTGACAAGAGAAGATACATTAATGACAAGTCAGCACATGAAAAGATGCTCAACACCATTAGTAGGGAAATGTAAGCCATCACTTCATACCTACTAGAATGGTTAAAATTAATCCAGCAATTCCACCCCTAGTTATCTGCCCAAAAGAGAGAACCATGTCCACTCAGACTTGTATATAAATATGTGCACCAGCATTATTCATTGCAGTTAAATACAGGAAACAATTCATTATGTCCCTTTGGTGAATGGAGAAATGTGTTTTATCCATTCCGTGGAATACTGTTAGCATTCCATCACTGTAACAAATCTCTGAGATGATCATCTTATAAAGAGAAAAGGTTTATTGGTTTATTTTGGCACATAGTTTCAGAGGTTTCAGTCCATGGTCATCTGGCCCCATTGCTTTGGGGCCTGTGGTAAGACAGTACATCATGGCAGGAGCACATTATGGAGCAAGCTACTCACATCACGGCAGCCAGGAAACAAAAAGGGAGAGGAAGCGAAAGGCCTAGGGTCATAAGAGAATCCCCTTCAAGGGCACAGCCTGGTGACATAATCTTCCACCAAGCCCAACCTGCAACCTACAGAGGACTCCCTCATCTCTCAGAGGCACCATGGACTGGGAATAAGTCCTTTAACATACAGGCCTTCAGGGGAAATTCAAGGTCCAAATTATATAACATACTTAAGTAATTTTAAAAAGGATCAGATATACCTCCAACAATATGGATGAACCTCAGAAAAATGCTAAGTGGAAGAAGCCAAACATAGAAGATGACACACTATATGATTCTATTTATATGAAATTTCTAGGAAAGAAGCTATAGAGGTAGAAAGCAGATAGTGGTAGCCTGAGGACGAGGGTGGGTATTGCCTGCAAGGGAGAGTGAGGGAGCTTTTGGGGTGATAGAGATGTCCTAAAACTAAAGCATGGCCATGGTTCCACAACTATATAAAGATCATCAGGCTTCACACAAAATGGGTAAATTTGTGGTATTTAAGGTATACATCAATAATTTTTTTAAAAAACTCCTAAGCTTCCTCTGCTTGTCCTTGGAGTGACATCCTATCCCTTGGATGGTCAGCTGCACTCTCAGCCCTCCTTCTCTGCTCCATCCAGTTTCTCACCCCTCCCTCCTCTTTGCTATGAGTGCTTTTACAGGGTGATTCCATTTGCCTGGCAGGCCTTCTCCCTTCTCTCTTTCTTTGGGCTAACTCCCATCTATTCTGCTGTCTACCTCAAGTCACTTCTTGCAGGAAGCCCTCAAGAATCCCCAGGCAGCACCTTCGTGACACCTCTTGATGACACTCACTCCTCACTCATCTTGGTGAAACTACTGACCCTTCCCCCAGCAAAGCACCTGGCTTGTAACAAGCTCCCAATAAATGTTTCATAAAATAGTATCTGAACAGCTCTGTGAAGCCCATGATAAAGCAACCTGCTAAATTCTGGGTGAAGCATTGTTTTGAAGAATGTTTGTAAACAGAACCTTTTTTATACTTAATCATATGAGGAATGTAATACTCAAATGAGCAGTTCTTATCTGTGGGGGACAGGGGTTCCTATTTTTGTTGCTACAAACAATGTTAGAGTTAACACACCCTTATGCATAAACCCCTACAAGGCATTGCTTTTGTAGTGGAAATTACCAGAGTACTATTGATGAGTCAAATGGTATGCACACTTTATATTATAATAAATGTTACTAGATTGTAGACACCAGATTTTTAAACTGATTTTATTTTTTTTTATTTTTTTT